TCCAGCGGGAATTTGGCACAATCATTGATCTTACAATGGATATCTCCCACAGATTTATCACCCAAACTTGTGTCCGCTATCTCCTCCTTTTTGCGGACCCCAAACATCTGATGACCAAGGAAACACTCCAAGACTACCCACTCTCGTTGTATGCAACTGGATATTGGTTCCATCATCTGCGGCTCTGCAACGAACAGGACCAGGAAGCATTACTACCTTCCACAATGCATCTCATGGAGGATGGAAGCAGCCAATATGTTGCTTGGTACCACCTGCATCAATTCAATCCGTTTTGGGGGTATGATGTGGATGGACCCATAGCACCAGCGGTGTGTATGTGTTCTCAATTGGGGTACACTGAGGGGGTGCGCTCTCTGCTCATCAAAAACAGCACATGTGTCAACCAAGCCACCCAAGACAGCGAGACTGCACTACATCTTGTGTCGAGAATTGGTCACCTTGACATTGCAAGGCTGGTCATTGAACACAATGCATCTGTCAACTTAGTCAACAAATATGGCCAGACTGCACTGCATCTTGCATCAAGGAATGATCACCTCAACATTGCAAGGCTGCTCATTGAACACAATGCATCTCTTGACTTAGTTGAGGAAGATGGCCAGACTGCACTGCATCTTGCATCGAGGAATGGTCACCTCAACATTGTGAGGCTGCTCATTGAACACAATGCATCTGTTAACTTAGTTGACAAATATGGCTGGACTGTGCTGCATCTTGCATCGAGCAATGGTCACCTCAACATTGCAAGGCTGCTCATTGAACACAATGCATTTGTTGGCTTAGTCGACCAACATGGCCAGACTGCACTGCATCTTGCATCGAGCAATGGTCACCTTGACATTGCAAGGCTGCTCATTGAACACAACACATCTGTTGACTTGGTCGAGGAAGATGGAAAGACTGCGCTGCATCTTGCATCGAGCAATTGTCACCTCAACATTGTAAGGCTGCTCATTGAACACAATGCATCTGTAAACTTAGTCGACCAATATGGCTGGACTGCACTGCATCTTGCATCCAGTAATGGTCATCTTGACATTGCAAGGCTGCTCATTGAACACAATGCATCTCTTGACTTAGTTGAGGAGGATGGTCAGACTGCACTACATCTTGCATCGAGGAATGATCACCTTGCTATTGTAAGGCTGCTTATTGAACACAATGCATCTGTCAACTTAGTGGACACATATGGCTGGACTGTGCTGCATCTTGCATCGAGTAGTGGTCATCTTGACATTGCAAGGCTGCTCATTGAACACAATGCCTCTGTTGACTTGGTCGACCAATATCACGAGACTGCGCTGCAACTTGCAGTGAGGAACAGTCACCTCGACATTGCAAGGCTGCTCAATGAGCATGGCACCAACACAATCCCATGGCGGAAAGTAATCCGTTCCTCCGTCTCCCTGACAATAGGCTTCGCCCTCCGATAAACACTTCTTTAGAGCACTATAACTTGACTATTTGTTTGTATTCAAAAGTTGGAAGTGAACTGTAAAGCGAATCCATATGTCTTGAAAGCATCAATCTAGATTACCGATGAAGGATGATCAGTCTATTAATCAGACACCAACCAGCTCATTCAATGACACGGGCACTGGCTCTCGAAAAGCAGTTGCAGCAGAGAGTCAACAACGAATTGAATGACAATGACGGCTGGGAAAGAGTGAATTTGACTGTGAGTTGAATAAAACACCGGATGTTGCAAACAGTTCACTTACCACTGCGCATCGAGAGGATATTTGGAGGCAGTGTTGGCATTGACAGAGTCAGACGGGGTCTGACGATTCGTCGAGACGGTTGATGACGGTTTGATGGTTTGTCAAGTCAAATTTCCCTTTTTGGAATTCACCTCGGAAACGGCCCAGTAGATTCAAGAAAAATAGCAGCTATGTTGTATTACTTCTAATCATCGTCATCTTCCATCAAAAGATCATATAACTCGAGTTCCTCCTGTAAATCTTTCACCCCTCCCTGCCAATAGAACCCAAGTCCGTTTGCGAGAGTCTCCGCTTCGTCGGTTGGGTACTGGAAAAGCTGCTTATGTTGGTGGTCGGAATCTTCCTCATCGTCGTCGCTGTTCTCCTCCTCTGCATCACTCTCCAACAAACCTTCTGCTTCTGCCCCACGAACAAGTTGAGTTGAAAGCCCGGCAAATGACTCTGTGGCCTCATAGTCCATGTTCGCACTTTGTGTGGGAGTGAACTGCTCTGCAAAGCGAGCAAACTTACGCTTTATGTGGTCAGTTTTCATCCCCAATTCGTCGTGCTTGCGCTTGAGGTCTGCATCAAGGGTCTGCATTTTCCGAACTTTCTGGATTGAAAGTTGGGTGCGAAGTTTGGTGAGGATAATTCCAGATTTACTGAAACCATGTTCTGAGCCTGCTGAGTTTGTGACGAGACTCGATAACCAGATGGCGAGCCGTGTCAAACCATTGCGACCATTTGGCGCTCCGGTGTCAAGACGCTCCCACACTTGCGCCACATTGACGTGCTGACCCTGAAAACACATTGGCCTCCGAAAACGACACAAAATTATTGTATACCTCATACTCATACATCTGCTTTATCATTTCAAGGCCCATATACTCGGCTGAGAACTCTTTGCGATCATTGGTGTAATCAAAGAATGTCAATTGGGGCCAAAACAGCTTTGGCCCTGTCCATCGCATCACGCTTGGTGCCAGTGCACCTAATGAGGTTGTCGTAATCAACCAAATACAGGGGGTGAATCACTGAAGAAAGAGTAAGGAGCCGCCGGACAGCAAGGAAATTCTAAACCCAACGGGGGAATAATGGGGAATATCAGGGTGAGAATTTGATGTGTGGCTTTGAATCGTTCGGTCGCTTTTTCTTGTTCTTTGAGCAGGCCAAGTGCTCTGCTATGGTTCGTGAACCATCTTGCTATAGCTGTACCCTCGTCGATTGCCGCCATGCACGGAACCTTTAACTTGAGCACTTCGACGACCACGAGATTGACCTAATTAGCATGCCGCCCGCCCGATGAGACCGGAACTTGATTTTGAATGATTCAGAACATTACCTGATGTCCCCAAAACGGCGGGACCAAGAATTTGGGCCTTGCAATTTTGAGTCTCGTGTGCATACCCATCGCGTCACCGCCATTGTCTGTACAATGACCAACAAAAACAATCCCGAACTCGGTCTCGCAGTACTCGATATCCACCAAGACAATTTCCAATAGATTATCAGAGAAAAACAGGATACAATCTCGATACCGCTCAGCTGAAACGAGAAGGAAAGCTACGCAAGGTCCAATTGTGATGCAAACTTCAAGTTGAGAGTGTTATCCTGAAAATGCAGCCATGCCGAGCGGTTCGGATGTACGGCAATTGCTCAAATGCGTCTGAAACTCCGTCCATGGTGTTGCCTTCATTGAACATGCAATACACTCGAATTTCGGAGTGTACCCACTCACTACATGCTCAGAATTTGATCAAACAAGTTGAAAGGGTTTCCCATTGGAAAAATCAAAGATTTCTCTGATGGACCGGGGTTTCCCAAGAAGCCGGGTTGCCCATTAAAATAATCCATCTTAACCGTTCTTGAACAAGATGCCTCGCCTTCAAGTTCATTTGCATCCCATTGGTCTCATCCATCAGCAAAAGCGCAAATCACAGGCGAACTTTTGATCTTGTGATGTCGTATATCTCACGTGCACGAGTATATGCGAGCACAAGCAAAGCTCGAGATGTTTGTGTAGGCTCCCGGACACTACACCAAAAGTCGGTCGGGCCATAGAGTAAATCAACAAGCCATTTTGAGGGGTATCTTTTTCAAACCAGCAAGGGCTAGGAGTTTTTATGGCTGTAAGACTGTCTCATAATTGTTTGTTGCACAGGTTAGAATGCTTTCACACCTTTTTCTCAAAAAAACACACTACACTGGTTGGGGAATTCAGGTTTTGCACTGCGATTTACGCTGAAAAATGTCGTTTATTTTTCAGACATTTTTCACTGGAAAAGTAGGTGGAAAACTGAAACATTTTTCACCATTTTTCACCCTTCTTTTGAATCTTTCACCTTGAGCTCAAAAAATAGTGAAAATGATTTGAGTTTTTTACCCACTTTTTCGGTGAAAAATGTCTAAAGAACAAACAACATTTTTCACTGTAAATTGTGCTGAAAAATTTGAACCTCCCAACCAGTGCTACCTCCCAATGTCACCAAAGAAATGTGGACACTCTTTAGATTGGGTAGTGAAGGCTACACAGGTACTTTACACAAATAATGAACACACACACACATCTTCCTGGTAATAAAAAATTTCACCACTCCCAAAGGCTCAATCTAAAATTCGCACCCTCGCTAACAAGTTTTTTTGTTTTTCACCACCTCAGTTCTGTGATGGGGTAGGCTGCGGGGGCGAAATCTATTACTGTTGAGGAATAAAGGTTCGTAATGGTCTAGGGATAGGAACATAGGCTTGTTGACTACACCTGGAAGCATGGTGATGAGCGAAAGGGTTGCAGAAAGAATGTTTCAAAGACTATTGGATCCAAAGAGCAGATTATGGTCAAGAGTTAAGAGGAATGTCAGTGCAAAAGATGTTGTAATAAACATCTGGCGTGTCGTAGCGCACTTGTATCGCGCTGTGAGCTATCACTTTGTGATTAGCTCTAGACACCCTGCCACGGAGATAAAAAGCACCTTTCAGGGCGACAGCTCGAACCATGGTCACTGGTGCACTTGCACATCGGAAATCACTGATGGAAATCACTGGCGCACGTTTGGAACTTGACGGCTACATCACTGGCGCACTTTGGGCACTCGAGTTGAAGAATTACAAGAGGGTGCCCATTCGAAAACCACTGGCGCGCTTACAGGTGCACTTAGTTACTGCCGCACTCGAAGATTACAAGGGACGCCCATCACTGGCAGAGGGGTTCAGAAAATAAAGGCGCGCTTTCGCGAATAAAAAAAGGGTAGCTTCGTTCCTTGAACGAAATTACCACTTTAAAGGCCAGACCCCGATTCGAACGAGGGTAGCAGTGTTCCATTGAACATCCGCGCACTAACCGCTGTGCTACCTGGCCGTGATGGTGGAAACAAGTGGCGCACAGCTATCGAAACAAGGCACCGTGACAAGAAAAGAGCGCCATATTGAACTGACCACTTTTCGCATGTTTACACGCACGCACAGTAACAAAAGACTATCTGAAAAACGCGCGAGTAGAAAAAGGCACCAAACTAGGAAAAAGAAGTGGTTAAATTTCGCAAGGCCAGACCCCGAGTCGAACGAGGGTAGCAGATCGAATATTGCCCTTCAACCCATCAAGTATCCGCGCACTAACCGCTGTGCTATCCAGCCGTGATTAAAATGTCGCACACGACTATCAATGACTCACCAAAAGAACGCGCCACAAAGAAAAAGCGCCTCACTAAAAAACAGGCCCAGCCTCGAATCGAACGAGGAGCTCGCGGTTAGGAAATAACATTGCAATAACGACTGCGCGCGATACGATTACGCCACTGGGCCATATCACCACAACTCGAACTTTCAACTCGAGCATTCCGAAAAGGGCGCGATAGAAAATAATTAAGAGGTGCCCCACCAAAAGACAGGAAAAAGGTGCCGCGCACTAAATAAAAGGTGCTTTGTTCAAGGGTATACCTTGAGCAAAGCTACCGTATGGACAGACCCTGAATCGAACAAGGGTAGCGGGCGACATGGCATTCCATAATCAAGACGTCCGCGCACTGACCACTGTGCTATCTGACCATGATACCTAGCCACTCAGGGAATGACAACAAACACTAGAAAAAGGCGCTTAACGGAGAATGCGACACGTGCAGGAAAAAGGTGCGCGCGGGCGCGGCTTGGACGGAAGGCGCGGGGCGCTATTTAAAGGAAAGGCGCTGAGTGCTATTTAAAGGAAAGGCGCGGGGCGCCATAAAGAAAGGCGCAAGGCGCCGTGCTGTTCAAAGGAGAAGCCGGCGTGGGTTGAGGAAAAGAGCGCAAGCGCGCTCTGGAGAAAGCCGCCGGAGATGGACATATGGGGAAGCAGGGAATGGTATATAAGGAGAGCGCAAAGCAGGGAGAAGGCATCTAATTACCTCCACTGCATACTGCTAAAGGAAAGGCGCTCCCATTAAAACGGGAGGCGCTAATCCAGTACCTTGTCAAATCAAATATATTACTGTACCATTACGTTCAAATCGTAGGGGGGTGTGACACGTGACATGTTTAACGAATTCGACAATTCGACAGCGATCCGAGAGGTGCGTGACAACACCAAAAATTCGATACGGCTCCAAAGTTCCGCCCTCAAGTTGCAGATGATTCCCTGGGGTACCTAGCCAATATTTCCATTTTGAATGGAATCCTCACTCATATTTCTTTTTTGGTTCTTTTTGAAGGCTATTTTAGGTTGATTTCAGGCCAGAAACCCAAACACATGTTCAAATTTTAGAGTTGCAAGTAGGAATGGTCTAGGAACTTGCCAAAATCATCCTCAGCAAGGGTAGCAGAGCCACAACATTTTTTATGGTATTTTGCGCGATTTTTTGGTGGTGTGACGAACCATTGGACCTATTCGACACTGGCCCTCGTGACGCGTGACCTCGACGAAAATTCGATATCGACAGGGGGGTGCGTGATGCGTGACTGTCGATTTGAACGAAATGGTACAGTAGTGTGCCTTCACGAGAGTGGGGTAACAAGGTCGCCTTGACCGCAGTTGTACAGAATAAAAACTGCGCAAGGAACCTCCTAGACAAGAAAGGAGGAAACATTGGAAATAACAGGTGTTGAAGCGCGCGTTCAGTTGAAGAAAAGCGCGGCGCGATCCTCCAAACAGCCAGCAGACCTACTCAGGCTGCGTGTAACTGTTGACTTTCGGTGCTCATAACACACACTTGGCGTGCGTAGGGCGCATTTATCGAGAAGGTGCCTTTTACCAACTCGACTATACCCTTTCCCCCATCCAATTCGGCGCACTTCCCTCGACTAGGTAAAAAGGCGCCTTGCGCACGCACCAATATTCAGATTGCGAAGGAGCGCGCTATAATCTGACGGCGCTGCGTTTACCCAGTTCTGAAGAAACTGCTTGCGTGCCCCATACGAAGCAAGGAGATACGAAAACACCATATTACCCGGGTTTACCAAGTAGGAGCGTACTTCACATCGCAGAGCGCCAATCCTTCGCACGAGTGTAGAAGAATCTCCCATCGCGTCTTTCTCGGAAGGCTAGCCCCCAACGAGAGACCAAACTCTCGAGGAACCTAGCGCCTTTCTCTAAATCTGCTACTCGCAGAAGAGAAATCTGTATACACCACCACCACCATATAAAATTGTCATTGCGTAGAAGTAAAGAGCGCTTCTAGCCCGCTTATTTCCCTCTAGAGGACGTACACCATTTGTATTGCAGTTTGACCGTAATTCCATGGCCAGATTCTAGTACAATAACCGCAGTCCACATCACACCGGAGCCGGTCTGTCTATGAAAAGTGTCGATAGACAGACCGGTCGATCTGAGTTTGAAATGCCGTGATGCGCGGCTTTCCTAAAAAGGTTATTAGATAATCAACATCATCGTCGGTGTATAATATGAATAAACAACACGCTTCTTCGCTTCCTACCTCTCAATATCCACACTCCGTCAATCTCTATGGCCCATGAACCCTCCAGGGACTCCATTAAGCCTTCGAGAACAAGCTGAGGCACTCAAGAACGCGATTCCGCTCCCCTTAAGGCAGCGCAAGCCTCGGCTCACTGTCTCAGGAACTTCTTCTTTTCACCGCACGCCGGATGTCGTGCACAATCCTGTGCTGAACCCCATATTGCATCCTACCCCACCAGCGTCCCAGTACGCCTCTGGGTTTCAATTTCGACCGCCATCCATGCCACAATCCTTTTCTCATCCGGAGAGAAATTCAGCTGCCCGTTCTCTTAACGACGCATTCCGTGCCGATTTATCGTCCGCATATGACTTCGAGCTTCCTGGTCTTTTTCCTGACTATGAAGACTCCCAGCTTGACGGGCTACTGAAGCAAACATTTGCTGCTCGGCGCCAGCGCACCACGAACACATATGACAAAATCCACAACCTGCTAGCAGATTTGAGAAAGGATCGGATCTCACCTGTCGACATATTAATCCAGGTTTTAGATCCCGATGATATGGCGTATGCTCGCTACCGCGGCAATCTCTACCGCGATGACAGTGCAAAGCTCTCAGAATTGTTCGACAAAATTCTGTCCGACCCTCGCAGCGAGCAGAAGATGCGCCAGTGTCCAGCCCCAGTTGGTCGAGTTTGCAAGCGAGACTGTGGCCGATGAAATGGAGACGCGCCGAAAGAGGTCGACACTTTCTGGTATCGGAGTCGTAACACCTAAATTCATTGAGAACTGGAGCCTGGACGAAGAAGAGGATATCACCCCATTCCTCACCAGCATCCTCATTGCCGCTGCACAGACAGAGCGTGCCAAAGCGAAAAATAAGAAAAAGAAGCCAGATAAGGTCAGGCTACGAGATATCCTACTCCTGTATTGTGCTCACTCTTGCCGCAGATGTGCAAAGTTGTCACCCAGCAACTTCTTTACCAATCTTCCAACCGTTCCCTCGCTTTCCAAGCGGAATTCGGTCTATTCCTCTGGTCGACAGGCTGTGCCCGTCAGACGATCGATGCATTATTCCGATGCGGCCTGTCTGTATGTTACGACTCTGTCCTCAACCTGATCGAGTCAGTGGCGGAGCATTGCATGACCGAGACAGTCGCAACTTCCAACGAGCCCCACAGCTACTGCTACGACAACATGAACATCAGCACATCCATTCATGTCGAGCAGCGCGGCGCGATTGGACCGTCCAAGGTCACGTCGGGTACCTTCTGCGTCCTATATCTCCTCCGCAACGCGAAATGGGAGCACATGCTCATCGCTCCCATCATGAAGCGATTCTATGCCTCGAAGGGGCTTCATTTTAACCGCGATATCAAGCCACCAGTCGACCATCTCCATTCATACCACGACCAGCTCGTTGTCACCGTTATTCAATGTCTTGGTCTTTACGTTGAAGGATTTGAAGACTTGGCAAAAGATCCATTGCTCCAACACCTCGCACGCCGCCCAATACCCGTCGGCTACATTTCCCATCATACTCCGGCGCGCGCGTCGACAATTGAGGAAGCGACAACCCGTGGAAATCTACTCTTCCACGATGAAATATATATCAACCAGCTCCGACGGACACCCGAGTCATTGAGCAAATACGCTATCCCGGGCTTCCACGACCAGTTGACCAATGCACGTATTCGCACCGCACAACTTCTGCGCGTGAAGGACGTTAATGCTTGGGAGCGTCGAGAAATCTTCCAGTTGGGTTTTGGTTTGTTTCACTTGTGTCTGAACCTGGTGTGGGGAATCCTCCACGTCCATCGGGGCAGCATAAACGAGCTCGGAAGCCTAACTTATTTTTTCGCACTCATCGAGAAGGTGCGACTGGGTAACGAGCAGCCAGACTATCATTCCCTTCTTGCCGCTTTAACCCAAGTTGCTCACGGTCTCCTTTTCAATGCTTGGTTGAAGGAGTGTGGTTTCCCTTCTCTCGAAACCTTCGCCCAATCCAAACCAACCCCCGAAACACTTCGCATAATAGCCGCCCGCATCCTTACCAATTATGCGACACCCATGACCGCGACCGGCGAAGAATCACTCTCCGATGATGAGTCTACGGCTTCTGACTCGGAGTCCGATACCGGGGCTTCCACTGCTCCCAAACCAAATCGACCCACACCCACTCTGGCAACCAGCAGATGATGTCGCTCACCACAATGTTCGTCTGTTGACGCGCGATATTCTGATGGTCCTCGTCTTGGTGCGCGCGATTTCCGATGGAGATATTGGGCGGGTTGAGGTCTTGCTCCCCCATCTTGCGATGATGTTCCGAGGCTCAGGCTCTGGCTGCAATAAATATTGCACCGAGATCCTTCATTTCATTCATAATATCAAGCATGTTTGGACACCGGAGTTTGCGTAGGATTTATTAATTATTGCCCTTTCAACGTCATTAACTTAACCCTCATTGCAGCGATAT